CCTCATGGGTGAAATAATTTCTAAAATTTAATATTAAATTTTAAGTTTTATATTAATTAAACGTACAGGTTATTCAACTAACGCAATTGTCCCAAAAATTAGGTTAACTTGTAAATACCAATTAGTTGAAATTACCTTCATCACTGCTTTTCGACATTATCAATAGTAAATATCTTGATGTAAGTATAAATGGAGTTGGGCCACTTTCAAACTACACGACTCAGTTATTTAATTAATTCTGAAAACTTATGTGTGAAAAATTTATCGTATTTGCTCTGAATATAAGCAACCTGAAGTGCTTCACTGATACATAACATGAAGCTGTACATATAACCATGGTAACCGGCAAAAGATTGGAAAACGGAGTTAGGCCACTTTCAAAATAAACGGCTCATTTATTCATTCCGTATCGAAGAATTTAGCGACGTTTTGCTGAAAAGATTCACTTTTTTCTGCTGATATATCTAAGAAACATTACTTTCACAATTATCATTATTTCAAACAAACAGTTTACAAGTAATCCCACGTTATTCAGAATTAGAACATCTTCTTTAGAAAGGGTTGGGGAACTTAATGCAAGACTCTATTTAAATTAGAGTCCATCACTTTCTAGCTGCATTCGGAAACAGTAGCATTTGATTAATTTTTAATGAAATCAAACTGTAGATTTAGCTTGTACCTTTAATTTACAATACGGAATCATGGTCTTATCAATTTATGATTTCATACACTCAAATGTACACTTACTGATAAAGGTTAAGAAATACGTTACACACATGCATATTCTTGGGTGTAGCGAACCTTCTTAACATAAGATAAAAATTTGTATCGTGTCAACGAAAATATTACATTAATTTTTTAATAATATTTTAACTTTTAGGTTTTGTTTTATTCGTTTATTTTTGTGATTTCTTTTATTTGTCGTATGCGCTAAATAAAACAATGTTGCAATATAAACAATGTATTACATGCTTCATTGTAATATGTACTTTTAATTTAATAAGACGTATATTTATTAAAGTATCAAATTTCGCTCGAATATGAACAATATGGAAAATTTAATAATT